GATTCCTGGTCTTAGAGGAATGTCTTATGAGGAGAGTTTAGCTGAGCTGAATCTGTTTCACCTCGAGCAAAGGAGACTAAGGGGGGACATGATCCAGGTATATAAGATTCTAACAGGTCTGGATGCTGTTCAGCCAAATGGTTATTTCACTCTGAGCTAAGTTCTCCCCAAACGAGCTTGATGGGCCGAATGGCCTCCTCTTGTTTGTAAATTTCTTATGTTCTTAAGTATCAGTCTCCACTTTATGAATTTTTCCTTTCGCTATATCCTGGAATTTCTTTCTTCTCGTTTTTATTTCCTGCTTATGCAAATGCAGATTTAACATTCCTCTTAATATTCATTGGCGTACACAAATTAAAGTTTGTCTTATGATTACAGCATTTTGTTTTTAATGATAGCCGCAGGTTTCAGCCTATACTATAGCACAAAACAACACTAAATCATACCCATTAATTGATAGTCTCCCTGCACTTCATGTAGAAAATTTTAAACCTCGTTGTTCATGATATGGTTAGATTTTTTTGTCCGGCGCTCCAAAACGTCGTCACATGTCACCATGTCACATGATACAAAAACTGTACAAGAGCAAGACGACTTAAGACAGATCGTACAGCACCTCTCAGCCAGCTGAACAAACTGGAACAGCCTCCGTGACAACACAACTTTGCCCTTATTGGCTGAAGAACGTGACGTTTGTATGATGTTTGTATCCCAGGAAGTTCCGATGCGTTATCTGCTATTCCTCTCGAATATCACGTAAAGCAGTGAGAACTGGTTTTCAGTTCATTTACCTGGTAAAATAAAGTTTAAATAAATTACATAAATGCTCTAATAGTACACGTAAGTTAGTGGTTTATTTATTGTTAGTGTTGCGCTGCTTTATTTGTTTAATTGTGCAGTCTGTGAAGAGATTATTTTATGGTAGCACATGCCCCTGAGGCTATCCCATTGGCGCGCCACGCCGCAATACCTCTGTGCCCCCCTAGGGGGGCGTGCCCCCCAGTTTGGGAACCACTGATCTAGGGGCACAATGGTCGTGCTCTTCCTCTGACAGCAAAAGTGGAATCCCGTCCTCATCGCCAATTTGTTATATACTCTCTATATTACTTACAGTTATGTATGTATCGACATCAATATGTTAGTTCTCACAAGCACAACTGCACACTTATTGTCGTACTTCTTCACTGGTTTATTCGTACATAAACAACGCAACACATTCCGGCATAGGACAGTGTCCCCGACCGGTGTGGAGCAGTAAACAATAAATTGCCAATACATCACAACATCCCATTCAATACATAGGCTTTAATATGGAGTTGCCCCACCCTTTGCAGCTATAACAGCTTCAACTCTTCTGGGAAAGCTGTCCATAAGGTTTAGAAGTATGTTTATGGGAATTTTTGACCATTCTTCGTGGAGAACATTTGTGAGATCAGGCACTAATTTTGGATGAGAAGGTCTGGCTCTCAGTCTCGGCTCTAATTCGTCCCATAGGTGTTCTATTCAGGGCTGTGTAGACCAGTCAAGTTCCTCCACACCAGACTTGCTCATCCATGTTCTTATGGACCTTGTTTTATGCACTGGTGCGCAGTCATGTTGGAACAGGAAGGGGCCATCCCCAAACTGTCCAAAATGGCTTCAAATATTGCAGCAATAAGAGTTCACTGGAACTAAGAGGCCAAGCCCAACCCCTGGGGGCTCGTCCGGGATAGAACTGTTAAATTTTGGTGGCATTGTCCCTCTGTTTTGTCTGTGTCACTCAGTCCCTGTGTCTTTCTTTTTCAGCTTTGTTTGGTGGATTAACTGTGGTGGGGAAAGTCTGTGTAATTGGGATTAGTATGGCTACGTTCGACCTGCTTGAGTTTACCCTGAGCCCCACACAGGAGCAGTTTGATAATTACAGGAAATCAGATCTGGTAGCCATCGCTGGTTTCTTTAATGTGGTGGTCCCTGTCGGTGCCTCAAAGCAGGAGATTAAGCAGGTCTTGCAGGACGATTTGGTCACGCAGGGAATCCTGCTGGAGCCAGGTGATCTCTCGGGTGTTGCATCTTGCGGAAGCTGGAGGCCCGGTGTCCCGGCCACACATGGATCCCAGGGATCCCGGCTCGCCCTCCTTACAATTCGGCTTAGGGAACTCGAGTTGGAGATTAAGAGGCAGGATTTCCAGGCCCAACTCCTTCAGATAAGGGCTTTGGAGATGGAGGCAGATCGGGATGCTGCTCTGCAAAAGGCAAGGGTGGGTCAGCCACAGCCTATTCCTCAGCTTTGTAAGGTAAGCTTGCCCCTTGGAACTGCTCGCTCCACCGCTTCCTTGGCTCGTGCCAGTGCTAGCCCGCCAGACGATGCTTCGCATCCTTGCACTCAGTCTCCGACAGTTCCAACCCGGTCCCCGGAGAGGGAGTATATTGGATTTCATGTGAGTCACCATATTGGACTCGTGCCCATATTTAGAGAAAGCAAAGTAGATGCATATTTCCCCATCTTTGAGTGCATCGCGACCACTCTAAATTGGCCCAGGCACCTTTGGTCGCTTTTACTGCAGTGCAAACTTGTGGGGAAAGCTCAAGAGGTTTGTTTGGCTCTTAGTTTGGAACAGAGCCTTGATTATGATTTTTTAAAGGCTACTGTCTTGAGGGCATACGAGTTAGTGCCTGAAGCTTACCGGCAAAACTTCCGGAAGGTTTGTAAATCCGCCTCTCAAACCCACATGGAATTTGCTCGGGAGAAGTCACTCCTCTTTGATAAGTGGAGCACCGCTAGCGGTGTGACTGATTTTCACCAGCTCAATGAGCTGCTTTTGCTTGAGGAGTTTAAAAACTGTGTACCTGACCGTGTTGTTATCTATTTGAATGAACAGAAGGTTACGTCTCTTACGGAAGCCACTACCCTCGCTGATGAGTTTGTGTTGACCCACAGAACTGTGTTTGCCCCTACTCCTTTGCCCCGCAAGCCCTATCCTAGATCGGTGCCGCCTCCGGAGAAGGCTGCTCCGACAACCCCGCCGGTAGAAATAAGAGAATGTTTCTATTGTCATGAAGTTGGTCACCTCATTTCTGTTTGCCCTGCACTCCGGCGCAAGAATGCTCACTTAGCTGTTAAAAAGGTACATGTTGCCCATTGTATAGTTGTCTCACCACCAACCCACACCATCGAACCCGTCTTCCAACCGTTTGTGTTTCCTGGTTTTGTTTCGCTTAAAGATTCTGATGTAAAGTGCCCCATAACCATTTTGTGTGACACTGGGGCTGCTCAGTCCTTCATGCTTGATAATGTGTTACCTTTTACCAACTCGACTTATTCTGGTTATGATGTTCTTGTACAGGGTATTGAATTGGGAACTGTGAGAGTGCCTCTTTACCAGGTTTATTTAAAAACAGATTTTTCGGGTTTTCTTAAAGTGGCTGTTCGACCTCGTCTCCCTGTTTCGGGAATAACTTTTATTTTGGGAAATGATATCACGAGAGGGAAGGTAGTTCCATTACCTGAGATTGCGTCAGAACCAGCTTACTGCTCTGACGATTTAGCACGTGACTACCCTGCTGTATTTCCCACCTGTGTCCTCACTCGTTCTCAGGCTCGAAAACTCATGGATATTGATCTGGCTGACACCTTCATGGGTGATCCTGTGGTCTCTGTTTTGCCCCAGTGCCATAGCATAGAACCTGTGCTGGAAAAACAAGTTTCCCCCCAAGTTTTAGCCACTGACAGTATGTGCACGTGGGGAGAGTTAATCTCTACTCAGGGAGCTGACCCATCCCTGAAAGAGTGTTTTGATTTAGCCGTAGAGAAGGCAGATTTAGCAGACCACCCCGTAGCTTACTTTAAAGATCACAAGGTGCTAATGAGAAAGTGGACCCCTCCTCAATCTCCCAAGGAATGGGCTACGTTGTTTCAAGTCGTGGTTCCGTGTTCCTACAGAAGTCACGTGTTAGCCTTAGCTCACAGCCACCCGTGATCTGGTCACCTAGGAGTTAGGAAGACTCTTGCTCATATAGTGAAGTGTTTTTATTAGCCAGGAATAAACTCCGATGTAAAGAAGTTTTGTCGTTCGTGTCACGCTTGCCAGATGGTTGGGAAGCCCAATCAAACGATTCCCCCCTCTCCCCTGCGTCCGGTCCCAGTGATTGGGGAACTGTTCAAGCACGTCTTTATCGATTGTCTGGGTCCATTACCCAAAACTCATTTGGGAAATAGCTACCTGTTGACCTTAATGTGTGCCACCACCCATTATCCCAAAGCAATACCTGTGCTGAGCTTGAAAACAAAAGGTGTGTTAAAGGCACTAATAAAATTTTGCACAATATTTAGTCTACCGAGGTACATACAGTCTGACCAGGATTTGAATTTTACTTTATTTTCGCAGATGGTACGCGAACTAAACATTCAGCACCGTCTTTCCAATGCTTATCACCCGGAGTCCCAGTGGGCCCTGGAGCGTTTCCATCAGTTGTTTAAGACTATGCTGTGTACCTACTGTTTAGAGGCAGGGAAAGACTGGGACGAGGGGGTACCTTTGCTTTTATTCGCTATTTGTGTTGTGAAGGCAAGAAGACGGACACTGACGCGGCTCTGCTGTAAGTCTTGTTGTTTTATTAATACTCTCCACAGAGATGTCAGAGGTACCCGGGGCTGAGCCCGAAACTGTAGCCGAAACTCAATTGGGGAGGTTGGGTGATCGGCGTCGATACAGATGAGGAAGAGGCGCAAAACACGGTCGGGAATCCAGGCAGGGGTCGGGCGATTGGCGTTGGTCCAGAAGGGGGGCAGGCAGAAACTCGGAGTCTAGGAAACGTAGCAGAGGTCAAGACACAGATAGACACACACCGGAGAAAACGCTCGAACTCAGGGCACACCATGAAGATCTCGCACCGATCAGAGAGCCGAGTTGCCTGATATAGGGAAACTGAAACCAGGGGAAACAAGACACAGCTGTCTGGAACGGGAACAACCGGTACGGCCATAAAAACTGGTTGACAGGACGTGGAACCTCGGGGAAGCCCTATCGATCGGAACCCCCGGAGGGGCGTGGCTGAGATGACGATGGGGATTCCTCAGTGCTATCCATGACAGTACCCCACCCCCAACGACCACCTTCAGGCGGATGAGACGGGAGGTCCGGACGACGATGATGAAGGTCCGCAATCAACGAGGGATCAAGAACAAAATGGGCCGGCACCCAGGAGCGTTCCTCAGGGCCATAACCTTCCCAGTCCACCAGGTACTGGAGGCCCCATCCCCTGTGGTGGACATCTAACAGCTGCCGGACTGTGAACACCTCGCCCCCATCCACCAATCGGGGCGGGGGTGGAGGTAGACACGGGAAGCCAGAGGGCTGGTCGCATGAGGTCGAAGCAGGGACACATGAAAAGCCAGATGGATACACCGCATGGAACATGGAAGCTGAAGACGTACCACAGAGGGACTGACAACCTTAGAGACCGGAAACGGCTCAACAAAATGAGGGGCCAGCTTACGGGACTGGACGTGTACAGGTAACGGGTGCTCAGTCAAACCTTCTGCCCAACCCGGTAGACATGCGCGCGTGAGCGGCGCTGAACGCTCCATCCGTGCTCTGGACTGTAGCAACGTTGAACGGGCTAGATGCCAAGTGTGATGACAGCATTGCAGGAACCGATGCACCGCAGGTACCGTGACCTCCTCTTCTAGGGCCGGAAACAGGGGAGGCTGGTATCCCAGGCAGCACTGGAAAGGAGACAAACCTGTAGCAGACACAGGTAGGGGATTGTGAGCATATTTTATCCAAGACAGATATTTACTCCATGAACTGGGGGAGTTGGAAGCCAGACAGCGCAACATACGCTCCAAATCCTGGTTGGCACGCTCTGTCTGACCGTTAGTCTGAGGGTGAAAACCTGCAGACAAGCTTGCGGTAGCGCTGAGTAACGTGCAGATCTCCTGCCAAAAGCGTGACATGAACTGGGGACCCCTGTCAGAAACAATGTTAGTCGGCAGTCCATGGAGCTTGAATACATGGTCAATCAATAACTGAGCGGTCTCTCTTGCAGAAGGGAGCTTAGGGATGGGGATGAAGTGAACAGCTTTAGAGAATCGGTCGACCACAGTAAGAATGCCCATGTTCCCCTCTGACAGTGGAAGACCAGTCACGAAATCCACAGCAATATGTGACCAGGGTCGCTGAGGAACAGGTAGGGGTTGCAACAGACCAGCCAGAGACTGAGATGGAGTCTTGTGTCGTGCACAGACCTGGCAAGCAGCGATATAGCTCCGAATGTCCTGAAGCATCGTGGGCCACCAAAAACGTTGCTTTAGAAGGGGGACAGTTCCCCGGATTCCTGGGCAAGCTAGGAGGGAAGCATGTCCCCACTGGAGCGTTCGATGGATGTAGAAACTTGGAGACGTAGAGCCTGTTTGGAGGACCCCCTGCAGGAGGGTGGAAGAATCGCTGAACTGCCTGGATGGCCTCCTCAATACCCCAGGCTACAGCTCCAACAAAGCGGCTGGGTGGCAGAATGAGACTGGGGTCGTCCTTACGGTTCTCCCCTTCAAACTGTCGAGACAGAGCGTCCAGCTTGCAGTTCTTCACCCCTGGTCTAAACAAGAACAGAAAGTTAAAACGGGCAAAAAACAGAGACCACCTAGCCTGACAGGCATTCAGGCGTTTAGCGGTCCGTAAGTATTCAAGGTTCTTATGGTTGGTCAAGACCAAGAACGGGTCCGTTGTCCCCTCCAACCAGTGCCTCCATTCCTCCAGAGCCAACTTCCTCGGCAGCAGTTTGCGGTTTCCAATGTCATAATTCCTCTCGGCCAACGCCAGGTTACGAGAGAAAAAGGCACAGGGGTGCACCTTAACAGAGCGCAGGGACAGAATGGCCCCAACTCCTGTACCCGAGGCATCCACCTCGACGATGAACTGATGAGACGGATCAGGTAACTGCAAAATGGGAGCAGAGGTAAACCTATTCCGTAGGTCAGTGAAGGCGTCTTGGGCATCAGGAGTCCACTGGAACGGAACCTTGGAAGACGTGAGAGCTGTGAGAGGGGCAGCAACCGTACTGTAACCCTGGATAAAACGCCGGTAGAAATTGGCAAACCCTAAAAAGCGCTGCAGATCCTTCCGTGTGCAAGGCTGCGGCCACTGGCTGACAGCCCTTACCTTGGGGAAATCCATTCTGACCATGACCTCTGCGAGAATGAATCCCAAAAAGGAGATGGTGCGTTGGTGGAACTTTCAATTTTCGGCCTTCACAAATAAGCCGTTCACCATGAGCCTCTGGAGGACTTCGTGGACGTGCTGCACATGGTCCCTCTCGTTCTGGGAAAAGATCAGTATGTCATCCAGGTACACAAACACGAAGCAATTAAGCATATCCTGAAGGACCTCGTTCACCAGGTTCTGGAACACAGCAGGAGCATTAGTAAGACCAAAAGGCATCACCAGATACTCAGTGACCGGTGGGTGTGTTAAACGTGGTCTTCCACTCGTCACCCTCCCTGATCCTGATAAGATGGTAGGCATTCCTCAGGTCTAGTTTTGTGAAGTACCATGCCCCCTGTAACTGGTCCAGGACAGAAGATAACAATGGCAGGGGGTATCAGTTCTTAATAGTAATCTCATTAAAACCTCTATAATCAATACAAGGGTGGAGCGAACCGTCCTTGGATTGTCCCCTAGGTGGACTAGTACCCGGGAGCAAGTCGATGGAACAATCGAAAGGGCGATGAGGCGGAAGGACCGACGCCCAGGACTTACTAAACACCCCCTTAAGGTCCTGGTATTCAGCGGGTATTTTGGAAAGGTCCGGGGTCTCCCCAGGGGCTGTAGATGCCACAGGTGATCAGGCAGAACGTAGGCAGTGAGAATAGCATGATGGGGCCCAGGCGGTGAAAAAACCCCTTCCCCAATCGATCTGAGGGTTATGCCTGAGGAGCCAAGGGTGACCTAACACTAACGGGACCTGTGGGGTGTCAATTACAAACAGAGAAATACTCTCGATATGGTTGCCAGACAAACGGAGACTCACCGGGATAGTAGCGTGGGTCACTGGGCCATTCTTCTTCCCGTGAGGGATTGAGCCACCAGGGGCACTTGAATTGGTGTTGTGGGTATCTTCCATTGCTGAACCAGGACAGCGTCTTTGAAACTGTCCTCGGCCCCAGAATCAATAAGGGCAGCCAACGACTGCTGCTGGTTCCCCCATGACACCACGGCCGACAATATAGTGCGTTGGGGAGAAGAGGGCAAACCTGAAGCCATGCCCACCAGTACCCTCCTCCTTACTGGTGGGCGAGTCCTTTTACTGGACATGAAGCGACGAAATGTCCCATCTTCCCGCAATACAGGCACGTGTGGGAAACGGCAAATGGCAGAGGTGAGCAAGATGGTCAGGAGGACAGGGCGTGCGTGAGGATGTAGACCACGTGAGGTAGAACATGTTTATGCGACTTAGAGCTTGCTAAAATAACAAGAAACACCTGTCTGCTTGAAACCATTACCAGAAGTAATTGTTAAACAGAGATGCATATATATAATTGTATGATTATTATATGACCTTACTGTCTCAAACTTCTGATGATGCAATGATTCTGTAGCAGGCTGTAATGCTTTAAGTGCGGAACTAGTATGTCGCAAGAGGCCCAAACTAGGGTATAGATCTAAGTTTGAGAACTAAGCTGTTGCAACATAAAACAATATAAATAGCCACGGGGAAGGGGGCTTGAGGGACAAGTGAGATGCAAGGGCGATAACAGCCTCAGGGGACGGCTGCAGGGAAGGTTAATTCTGGTATTGTCCTGATGGTCACTGATAACAGGGTAACCACAGTCTAAATTCTACCACTCAGCCACCCCTGCCCTGATGATCACCGATAGCAAGGTGACCACAGACTAATTTCCACTGCCCAGTCACCTCCCCCTATTGATCACAAGATGCTTAATAATTAATATGCTGATATGTCGCAATTCTTTGCTGATGTGTTGCAACTTTTTTGCTTATAAAGAATGTATCCACCTGTTGTTCGGAGAGCAGCTCACAAGACGCATGAAAGATTGCTGAGTGACTGTTCCCCAAAGCTTTGGTAACGGTAATAAAGTATCATTTTACTTATACCACGTCTCCAGAAACGATCATTTTCTCATCAACGGACTCGGTGGAGCGGTTGACTCCAACATACGCCCGAGAGGAAACACGTTGCTGCTGTTCGGCAGGTGATAACCGAGCTCTGTCAACCTGCATCATCTCCGGCATGGCCTCTAGGGGGTTAACAGTGGGCTCGGCGGCCCGAGAAACACTTGCTCCTTCCCGCCGTTCCCTCTTGCGCTGGGAAAGCCGGTTGTCCACATGGAGAGCCAGGTCGATGAGGTCTTCTAAATCATCAGGGAGATCGCGAGTGGCTAGCTCGTCCTTAATGCCTTCAGACAACCCCTGGTAAAAAGCATCGAACTGAGCTGTCCTTCCTCATCCGCAAGACATCGCCAGGGTGCAGAAACGGATAGAATACTCAGAAACAGAGCTATGTCCCTGGCGAAGCTGCATTAACTCACGCGCTGCTTCTCTTCCGGATATGGAGCGATCGAAAATGCACCTCATCTCTTCTGCGAAGCTGGAAAAGCATGCACAGAATGGAGCTCCGGTGTCCCAGGCTGCAGTCCCCCATTCCCTTGCCAGTCCGGTGAGCGGTGTAATCACATAAGTTACCCTGGAGCGCTCGGTCGGAAAGGTGGAGGGTTGCAGTTTGAAAATAATTGATCATTGTGACAAAAAGGACCAGCATGAACCCGGATCCCCATTGTATTAACTGGGAGGTGACAGGTGAGGTTCGTTCGTCGATCGGCTTACTGAAGTGGCGAGGGCATTGGAATGGAGCTGCTGGACCTGGGAGGCTAATCCCGTCAAGCCTGCGTGGAACATCTCCAGGGACTCCCCGATCGCCAATAATTCGGACTGATGCTGTCCCAGGATAATCCCCTGTTTACCCAGGGCTTCTGTATTGCGCTGGACTCCATCCTGATCCGCTGGGTCCATCTTGTAAGTGAGATCTTCTGTTGTGAAGGCAAGAAGACAGACACTGACGTGGCTCTGCTGTAAGTCTCGTTGTTTTATTAATACTCTCCACAGAGATGTCAGAAGTACCTGGGGCTGAGCCTGAAACCATAGCCGAAACTCAGGCGGGGAGGTTTGGTGATCGCTGTCGGTACAGATGAAACACGGTCGGAAATCCAGGCAGGGGTCGGGCGATTGCCTCCTTTCAGACCGATGCCAGAGGCGTAAAACACGGTCGAGAGTCCAGGCAGGGGTCGGGCGATTGGCGTTGGTCCAGAAGGGGGGCAGGCAGAAACTCGGAGTCTAGGAAACGTAGCAGAGGTCAAGACACAGATAGACACACACCGGAGAAAACGCTCGAACTCAGGGCACACCATGAAGATCTCGCACTGATCGGAGAACCGAGTTGCCTGATATAGGGAAACCGAAACCGGGGAAAACAAGAAACAGCTGGGAGTGGGAATGGGAGCAACCGGTACAGCCAGAAAAACTGATTGACAGGACGCGGAACCTCGGGGAAGCCCTATCGATCGGAACCCCCGGAGGGGCATAGCTGAGACGACGATGGGGATTCCTCAGTGCTATCCATGACGATTCGGGGATACTGTGCAGGAATCTACTGGTTTCAGTCCGGCTGAACTGGTCTTCGGGCATACTGTGTACGGCCCTTTAAAGATACTGCAGGAGCAGTGGTTGTGCCCGAGTCCACCTACTCAGGCAAAGAATGTGCTGAGCTTTGTAAAGTCTCTGCGTGAGCGTCTTGGTGCAGCCAGGGAATTGGCAAAGCGCTTGTTAAGTTCGTAACAGGAGGTAATGAAAGCTCACTTTGATAGGAAAGCAAGAGAACAAACTTTCCAGGAGGGAGATCGTGTGTTGGTCCTTTTGCTCCTGCCCAGCACGCCTCTCCGAGCACGGTTTTCAGGTACCTGCAGAGTACAGGAAACGGCAAATCCCACCGATTATGTATTAGAAACTCCAAACTGAAAATGGAAAACTTACCACGTAAACAGGTTGAAACCTTACGTTGATTGTTCTGACCCTGCTCTTTCGTCTGCTCCTATTCAGTTCCTCTCTGCTGGGGATAGTGTGCCGTTGCGTGAATATTTGCCTGAACTTGATATTCTGCACCTCGGGATGGATTGTTTGCCTTTAGTCCACAAGAAAGGAGCCAGTAACCTCGCGGCTGTGGCACTCTCATGTACGTGACTTTTGTAAATTTGTTGTGGGGAAGTGTTTATATAATGATTTCAATTATATTTGATTGTGAGCCCTGTGACGTTCACAATTGTATGGGGGGTGTTACACGCCGATGTTTGTCCAGCTCTGCCCACCGCCAGTTCCACTCCAACCGACCTTTGCTCCGCCTCCCCGTCCGGACCCCGCCCACGACTCCCCGCAAGACCATCTGTCACTTCCGTCCGGCCGAGGTGAAGAACTTGACAACAAGAAATTTCGGAAGCTCTGCTCATTTTCTGATTATTGTTGGTTTGCTTTCTTTGATTTGGATTATTGTGTATGGCAGTTTCGGTTTATTGATTTTTGATTATTCGCTTTGCCCTTATCTGTACCTTTGCCTTGATTTGATTGCTTTCTGGTTTCGATCTCTTGCCCGGTTTTTGGTTTACGTCTTTGTGCGCCCCTCGGATTCAGATGCTTTGCCCTGTGTATGTTCTGTGTGTTTGTTAGGTGTGTGGGGAGTGGTTGCCATTTTTGTTTACGAGATTTGTGTATGCTGTTGTTTGGTTAGGGAGTGAGGAGTAGTACTTGTTTTTTTTTTTTTTTGATTTCTCTTGCACGTAGTTAAGTTAGATTTGGGTTGCGTTCGGTAGCTGGGTTTTTGTTTATTATTTTGGCTATAATCACTCCTGCACTGGGTTATTTGTTCTGTGTCTGTTGCGTGTAAATAAAAACCAGAAAAATATAAAAATATACCCCTTTGTCCACGTGTTCCCTTGTGCACCACAGCCTGTGTTGCCCTTATTCCTCTTCCCCTTCCTGAACCCTAGACTGGGGCTCGTAACACAACCCCACACCGTAATCCCCCCTCCACCAAACAATGCAGTCAGGCAAGTACTGTTCTCCTGGCAACCACCAAACCCAGACTCGTCCATCGGATTGCCAGACTGAAAAGTATGATTTGTCACTCCAGAGAACATGTCTCCACTGCTCTAGAGTCCAGTAACGGCGTGCTTTACACCACTGCATCCGACACTTTGCATTTCACTTGGTGATGTAAGGCTTGGATTCAGCTACTCAGCCATGGAAACCCATTCCATGAAGTTCTCTACACACTGTTCCTGAGCTAATCTGAAGGCCACATGATGTTTGGCAGTCTGTAGCTATTGACTCTGCAGACAGATGGTGACTTATGCACACTGTGTGCCTGAACATGCGTTGTCTCTACTATGTGATTTTATGTGGCTTACCACTTCGTGCCCAAGTTGCTGTTGTTCCCAATTGCTTCCACTTTGTTATAATACCACTAACAGTTGACAGTGGAATATTTAATAGTGAGGAAATTTTACGAATGGACTTATTGCACAGGTGGCATCTTATCATGGTACTACGCTTAAATTCACTGAGCGTGACCCATTATGTTTGTAAAAGGAGTCTGCATGCCTAGGTGCTTCATTTTAAACACCTGTGGCTGTGGGAGTGATTGGAACACCTGAATTCAATGATTTGGAAGGGTGTTCCAATACTTTTGGCAATATAGTGTATATGTATATAAACTTAATTAGCACAAAAATTAAGGAAATTTGTGTTTGGTCGATTATTTCTTTGTTGTGACAATGCTTCTTGGCAATAAATATTATACCATTGGAAAGCCTGTTTATTTCCCTTTTAAATGGTGCCACATTTGTAGGAAAAATTAATTTGTAGGCTGAGCAGCAGAGCTGAGTATGTGGATTGCACCCATGAAAAACTTGCCAAATCTTCTCTGCCAAAGCCAAACAGCTGATTCTGCTATTGACTCTTGTTTTGTGTCGTTTAGTGGATTGAATGATTGAAGTCTGAAGAAACAAGACATATTGGCAATTTAACAATTTAACATTTAACAAACAGGAGCCTCAGTAGCGTGTGGAAGAACCATACAGCCAGGGTTCGAAATTAACACCCGCCAACCTGCCAAATGCGGGTTAAAAATCATTTTGGCGGGTATTGATAAAAACTTACCAGCCAGTTTGGCCGGTGATGCATGAACCAATCATGCAAATCATGTCAGAGACGCTCTGGGTCGTTTGTCCCCTCCGTCCTACATTTCACATGAACACTACACTACGGGTGACGTTTTAGATGCCTTTGGCAGCAGCACGCAGGTACTGTACGCTTCGGTTTGCGGGTCCAATCAACGACGAGAGCGCGAA